GSYTKRWKGRYTWWTTTYKYGCGCSMGAGWKKYTAGTTCCTGGCCAAATAAAYRCGGTTCGTACGATATTGATCTTGACCAATCAGAGCGCGCGTAAGAATAACACTTTATAAAAATCAAGTTTGTTTTAAATTTCGTGCACTTTTCTTTGATAACATCAATTTAACGATGTTCTTGACTTTAGATTTTTACCACGATAAACTTATTACCTCCGTTTTCAGATAAAATATCTACTCAAGAAAATAATTCTCTATCATCAAGTCTGCATACAGGCAAGCTAAAGCAAAACTTTGAAATACGATATTGGAGATTAAACGATTTGTAAAAATTCATAAATGATAAATTTTGAAATTGTACAAATGGTTTGACTTCTGAATACTAAAACAATAAAAAATCTGAGTAATTAAATAGTTTTAAATTGTACTACATTATCGGTTAATTCATTAGTGTTTTCTATTGTCTAATCTACACTAGAAAGAGGTCATTAGACTCGTGAAGCAAAATCTGGCTATTAAAGTGTAAAAGTCAAATAGACACAAAAGAAAACAATGAAATTACTAAGGTGTATTAGTGTAATATCATTACACGGTTTTTTACTTAATTCTAGTACTTTTTTACTTTCTTTTTACTTTTTTAAGGTAAACAAATGTAAAATTAAATTTCCGATTATTTCAATATCGAAGTTTTAAGTAATTTCTAACAACGTGCGATTAATGAAATAAAACAGTTGTTGGAAATAGATTTGGTGTATGTGACCTATATTCATTTTTCATARAACGATACCAAAGCTTATCCTAGATTAATAGCTTATCTGTGCTTCGCTGTAGTGCCTATAACCTCTRCTTCCTCAATCTAAACATACAGATAGTAGCTTTATGGTTATTTTGCTTGAATAAAAAAGCTTTTTATCCCGGATTAGCTTTCTTAATTCGCAATTTGATWCTAATACTACTTGATGCGTGAATGGATGAGGTCGRGACATMTTTCCTGGTCAGTCTCGCACGCTTGTTTTGTAAACGATTACTTTGTTGTACTAAATGAGCAAGAACAAGAACACGAAGTACAATATATAAGAAGAAGAAGAACTAAAGAAGAAAACAAACAAGGAGAATAATAAGAATAACAGCAAGACGTTGAAGAGAAAAAAGACAAAGAAGTTGAAAAAGAACAAGATGAATGAGAAGGAGAATGAGGAAGACGAGAATGTGTTAATCAGAGGAAGAAGAACAAGAATAAGAAAGAAAGGAAGATGCCCTAGCTACGAAGTCTATGAAAGMAWWAAGAGCCCTTGCTTTATCCTCAASTTAGAGCCGCTACATTCGCATGGTGTTCACAATACACAATAAAGAACTTGATAAACGTAACAGGAAACTGGGATCTCTCACTTCACTGACGTAATTTTATTCTTAGAACAGAAGACACTCAAGAAATCACCAGCAGAAAACTACATCTACAATCGCTAGCATTTTTGGTCCTTATTCGTACTTATAGCTGYTAAGTTTTCTCTATTTYTGTACGCAAGGTTAAAGTTGAAACTACTCCAGTGCGTTCAAAATATATGGCATTTAACTCCAGTGTYCTCAAAAAAAGGAAGTGCATTTGACATGCACGGAAAARAGTTCAATAGTTACTTGAATGCATCTTGAAGCTAATGCCACTTAAAGCACAGAATCACGATATGACAGATGAAAACTACTTGACTTAGAGAACAGGAGAAATGAGTATGGATGGTGTACTTTGAAAAGTTGAAGGAGAAGAAGAAGAAGAAGAAGAAGAAGAAGAACTGAACAACAAGAACAACAAGAAGTAAAAGGACAACTAGAACAAGAATTAGAAAATAGAAAAGCAATAGAAAAGCGTTTTTTGGCTTTAAGCCTGGGGAAAAAAACAGCAATTCATTACTTTACTGGAAGCATGCATCATTTGCATTCTGATAAAGTAACTGAATTAGTCAACAAAGTTGAAAGCAAATGTTTACACATTGTCAATCACTTTCATGTACGAATTGTGTCGGAACGACGTCTTAACCGCAGACTTTACTGTTTACTTTATGTAATTGTACACATGTCAAACTGAATTGTACAAAAACTACACTAAAAATGATACCGAAGATGAACCTTGCTAAGGCATAAAACTAATTAATGTTTAGTATTTTAATTTTTGGAAAAACTGAAATAAGCATTGGAATTAAAGACTCTAAGGTTTAGTTTAATAGAGTGAA